CTGCACGCGGGAGGGCCGCGTTCTTGCTTGCTCAGGCGTGGAGAAAGACGCCAGCTGACCCGAGCTGTCCGGTTCCGAGGCTCTGAAGAAAGCTGTAAAGGCCCGCAAGACCACCCTAGACGAGCCATTAACCTGCATTTACGTCTGTGGTCACAAAGCGCCCGCCCGTGCGTGCGCGGGGCGCTCCGCCTTCCGGGGCGCAGCACCGACGCGCGTCCAGAGCCTCGGCGCCGTCTGCTGGCGGACGCCTGCAGCTCAGCTTTCCAGCTCATTTTCCAAGGAGAGCAAGGTTGGTCCGTTCGAAACAAAGGAAACTGGCATCCTTTCATCGGTGTACGCCCAGTTGGGAACCCAAGTGAACGTGAAACACGCGGGATGTGAACTTAAGGCTCTTTTAAAGCTCACGTCGCGTAATTCCTGGTACCCAGAGGCGGGGGGGGGGGGGTAAAAAGCGTCTGGTTCCAGGGGGAGCGACGTGGACTGCTTCGTGGCAAAGTGACCGGGTGACTGAAGTCACGTTTTTGTGGGGGACTTGGGACTTTTTAGCGACGTTTCTTTTTTCCTTTTACCTGGAGATCCAAGAATTTCTCTCTTGGAGATATGGAGAGATGACAAAATGAGCAGTTAATGTTTACAATTGATTGCAGAAACACACACATTTTCATGAAGCCCTCTCGCCCAGATACCCACTCTTGCTTCCAACACGCGTGTCCCGTCCCTCTTGCTCCTTTCTGAAGTGGCTGCGGGAATCCTCTTCCGGGGGCGTCTTTGGAAGGTGTGACAAGAGAATCCAGCTGCCGAGGCCCACCCAGTGGAAAAGCCACGACCAGCAGTGTTCAGGTCCTCGACCTCCTCCCTCGGGAGTCAGCTCGGGACACCGAGGCAGCCACCACAGCACAACCACAGACACTCAGGAAATGGATTCCAGAGCCGCTTCGGAAAGTGGCAGGAAGGATGGGATGAGCGTGTCCAAAAGGAAGAGTGAGATTTTGAGGAAGGGTCTTGGCAATGCACCTTTGACTGTAATTAATTGGAAAACTTCTCAATAGTTATTCACTTTTCACTCACTCAGTATCCGTGATTTTGTAGGGTTTCTGCCCTCCCAGAGACTAGTTTCACAGAACAGCATGTCTACGAGTGGCAGCTGAAGGACTATCTGGGGCGGAGTCTTCCCTGCAGGTGGTGAGATGGGGCATCAGTGCCAGGGCAGCCATCTGTCTGGTGTCCCCACTTTCATGGGGGACACAGGCTGCACTGCTCTTCTCTTGTGTTCTCTGTTCAGTCATCTCATAAAGCAATGTGTCAGTAATACAGTTATGGGAGCAGAGCAGAGAACTATGCTGGTAGAAGCAGCCCTTAGGCAGGATCACAATGTCAGATCGGCTGAGTGCACAGAACTTTGCAGTAGCATGTTAGAGGTGACTGGGGATGACTGGTGTGCTTTGTTGATCTGTTTTTCCTGGGAGCACACACGCCTTGTCCTGTTTCTCAGAGGACAGCATCTGCTGGGACAGAAAAAGGCTGGGGTTTCCGTAAGACAAAGGGGGACTTGTCCAGTCACCCATGCTTTGGTGGCAAAGCCTTGGAGGCTGAGGTCCTGGCGGTGGAGTGTCTCACTCAGGGCTCCACAGATGGTGGCATTCTTGCAACTTGAACTCAGCCCTGAATCTTGGCACTGAGTCCTTTTAAACATCCACATTCTCTCATTTCTTTCATTAGAAGTACAGTTTTGTTTTCTTGTTTTTTTTTTTTTTTTTTTAAATTCATGCTTGAATCTCCTCTGTTGGGTTTTATCAGTGGCAGTGGTAACAAAGGCAGCGTGACAGTGCACAGAAAAGAAGAAATAAGGTGTGTGTGTTGGGGGGGGGGAGCCTTTATTAAGTCTGAAGACAGAGCAGGGAGATGGGCGGATCCTCTGCCCTGAGTCGGGGAGGCTGAGACGTTATGGGCTTTCACTAGGGGCAGAGCTTGAGGGGCGGGTTCAGGGACACACTAGGAGCTGACTGGAGGTCCCTTGTGTGGCCGAAGAAGTAAAAGGAAGCTGTATCCAGGGCTGGAGCCGGGAAGGAGGAGCAGGCTGTCATCGGGAAGATGAGCTGTTGCTCTGGGATTCAGATCAGGGCCCTGGTCATGTGGCAGTCTGTACTTGGGCAGGGACCTATTGCCTTCCTTTCTCACTCGGTATCTTCCACATCTTGATGTCTCACCCTCTTCTCAACCCTAAAAAAACAATAAAATTACCCAAATTGTATCTATTTTGATAAGATTTCTGGTTTTGATTTTTTAATTGGACTATTAGCGTGTGAGAAAAGAATTCAAATGAATGGCCTTTCTGTATAAGGCAACATGACTTCTCTTGGTTCAGTTAGAGGGTGCCGCTCTAAGTATCTTTCAGACCTGGGAGGAAAGGCTATTTCCATAAATGACTCAAAACACAGTCATTTATCACTCAATGGCTGTAAGAAGGCTCTTTTCTTCCCCACAGAAATACTGATGCAATTCTGGGAAACATATTAATTTAATGAATATTTTTAAAGTACCATCTATGTGTTTGTCACTATGAAAAGCTACTGTACAGAAAAACATAGAGAAAATATAAAACGACAGTCTAAAGATAGAGCAACTCCTTGCCGGAAAGGATATAAATTTGCACATATTCTTGATTGCGTCTTCAAAACTAGAATTAGCTCTGAGTCAGTTTCAGGACATAAGCACACATCCCTTCGGAAAGCACCGAGACTTACGTCCTTTAAGTGAAGGTCACCTTAGTTCTGAATTAAGAATATCTGAGAGTCCTTGAAGTGATTACCAACGTAAGCCTGTGAAACATGGTTGTGAGTTCCACTACAGCTTCCTCACTACCAGCTCCATGAATTCTATCAGGTGTGAATGGATTGCACTTCCCTTAAATAAATCTGATATCCTTCTGGAGGTGATGCGAATCACAAGATCATGCTTAAACCATTCCGTAGAGAGAGCGAGCTTGCCTTCTCTTGATTTCCTCTTTAGTCATCTGTTCCAGGGTTTGTGAAATTCTAAGATCCAAGAACCAAGTGCTGTCTGTGCCTTCCCTTTGCATGCCTTGAAGCCTGTCACTGATTTTCTGTCTGCTAGCCTGAAAAGCTTTACAACAATTCTCATTTGTAAAAAACCATTACCAAGCTTTCGCCATCACTCAGTTCTTAGGCTACATAAATGTTTCCTTCAAAAATTTCTCCCCATGATGTATTGTCTCTATCTTTACATCATTTTTAGGACTCTTCCTAAGGTCATTCTTACGAAATTTCAGTCAGTCAAGACTTTTTATTGCAAGACCCTACATGTACACCACATCCTGATGAAGCTAAGAGTGCTGACAAAAATGAAGAGATGAGACACAGCTCTTCTTTCACATAGGCGCAGTTGATGGGCTGCCTCGTGTGTTATGACATCCTATTAGCTGCCTTACCACATGTCTATTTTACATGTGAAAACTAGCTTCCTCTCAACAACTGCTTCTCAGAGAAAATCTAATAAAAAACTTAATATCTTCACCTAATCTTGACTTGAATGTATAGTGGAGACCGCGCGTTAGTGGGATTTTAAAGATGGGGACACTGTACTTACTATCACTGACTTACAGGAGTGATGGTGGTCAATGAGTGCCAAGAGGAAGGGACATTCCCCTGTCCCTTTCTGAGACAGCGTCTCATCCCTTGTGGAGGACACAGGCTTGGAAAGTGACCTTGTGTCAGTCTTGTGCAGTGGACCTTGCAAAGGTGGGACTTCCAGCCACCCTCCTGTCACATTGTTGCCCTCAGACCTCCTGCATGGGTGCAAGAGCAGCCGCAGCTGCCAGCCACATCTTAGTCAGGCCGTCCCCTTCTGTAAAAATGGACTTTGCCTGAAGACCAGTATTTGTGTTAGGAGATATTTAGATGCAAAATTGGAATATGTTCTACTCATTGATTCATGTGCAAATGTGGTATTTTTTATATTATTTCAAAACTCAGCAGAGATCTTAAACTTGCTTCCTTTTATTCCATACCATTCAAATTCCAAAGCATTTGGACTTTGTACAACCTCCTCTTACTGACAGCTTATGCTGTGTTTTGTGTGTGTCTCCCAGCATGCCACATATTGGAATGCCGCAGCGGAACAGCCCAGGATGTCATAAGCACCATTGGGCAGGCTTTTGAACTCCGATTCAAACAGTACTTGAAAAATCCTTCTTTGAATGTTTCTTGTGAAAGGTCAGTCAGAAGTTCAATAATTATTTGGCTTGTTCACTCTGTATATATTTTAAAAGTATTGTGATATTTTCAAATGGACTGGTGCAATTAGCAATTTAATTTTTTTTTAACGATAGTTGTAGTTTCAATTCAGAATAATAGTGACACTTCTTTTGCTTCCATTCTTTGTGTGTGTGAGTGCGTTTACATGGTACTGGGGGTTGAATTCAGGACCTTCACACTGAGCTGTATTCCTAGCCCTTTTTTATTTGACAGAGTTGCCCAGGCTGGATTCTAACTTGCAGTTCTCTTGCCTCAGGCTTCCATTCACATTTGCCCAGATATTACCTTGTGCTTTATAGTGGGATTGAAGGAGACACGAAAAGTAAGAAGAGGTCAGCCCTGTTTCTCCAGTGTTAGCACACAGCCATGCATTAAATGGCAGAAACATCTCAGATTGGCCTCAGCTGCGCTTCTTTTATGTAGAAAAAAACAAAGCAAAACTAAAGCAATGAGCAAAATCAGAAGAATCAACTGTCTGTGGTGAGACCCTGTCACTCGCTGGTTTTAGGTAAATTGGTGGGCAATGGTTCACAGTGTGACCCAGCCGCTGGGGTCTAAGCACAGAAAGTCCACAGCAAAAGGGCCCCCTCGGGGCTGGTCAGCCCCACCACTGTGGGGTCTAGCAAGGCCTGCAGCGCACGCAGTTCATGTCCATGAAATGAAACCCCTGGGTGCTTCAGAGTGCATCTTCAGGCCTGGTGTGGTGACGCGGATCATCCCAGCACCAAGGTGACTGAGGCAGGCAAATAGCTGAGAGTTCAAGGCCAGCATTCACCCTAAAAGGAGACCCCAACTCCCTGATAAGTCATTCTGTGTGGTCCAGAGAGCTCCCTTAGGACGTGGTCTCGTTAGCTGGGGAAGAGACTGCGAGAAGCCCTGGGGCTGACTCCCCCATAGCGCTCACCTCTCAGTGCTCCCCTTTGGTTTACTTGTCATGAGCCCAGTAGAGCTGTCAGTAGCATCACTCATTCCAGAGGGATTCAGTTTATTCTTTTTGTGAAGAACTTGTACTAATCTAGGTTTGGAAGAAAAGTCCACTTGTTTTCTTTTTTAAACCCTGTTTTAGTGTCACAGCCCGTTGCGTGTTGACGTGAACCTCCTCACTTGCTACATGTGGGCCTTGTACTACCTTATGAGTCCCGCCTGCTCATCTGGCGCTGGGCAGACTGGAGAGCTGGTCATGACGCTCTCGTTTTATGATCTTAGTTTAATAAACTGGGCCAGGACCGCTGCCCAAAGAATAGCGTGTCAGTTTTCTTCGAGTAAAACGTTTCCTAGATGGGACAGTTGCAGTGTGCTGGAGATTCCCTGCAAGGCTGCTTTTTTAATGATCCTATGGCAGAAATGTCTTACAAATACATTTAGGGAATTTATGATTGTCATTGTCATCATCACTGGGCAAGACACAAGGCCAGCTGTGGGACTACTCTGCTTTGTCTCCAGCAATCTAAACCACACCACTGCTGCTTCCGTCCAGACGTTTGACACTGCGTAAGCTCAGCAGTAAGCCTAGAACACAGATGCAGAGTTCTACAGGATGGTCTGCTCGGCTCTGACCCTCCTGCATCCCTGTCTCACAGGGCTTTTCTTCTCCCTTGCAGCAAGGAGGTACAGATGGACAGCCACACCCAGGAGGGAGAACATCATGAATATTACAATGAGATCCCAGGCAAGCAGCCACCGGCCGGCGGCATGTCTGATGCTCGGATCAGAGCGCAGACCCCAGAGCAGATGGCGGCGTACTGCCCCATTCGCTGTGAGAAGCTGTGCTACTTAGTAAGTAAGGGTCTGCTGTTCCTGCAAGCAGCAACAGGATTCCACCCCAGATTTCCAAACGCTGGCTTAGAGAAAGGCCCGTCTTCCTGACACACATGACCTGGGGTGAATCGGGCCGAGTCTGCTCTGGATCATTTTTCCTCGCAGGCCCCAGCTCAGCCTCCACCTGCTGGGCCCAGAGCTCCCCTCATTGGGCCCACATCCTCCCTGCTCTCCTCCCTAGCAGCTGTGCCTCCACTGGGCTGTGTCCTCATCTGTCCCATCACCTCTGCCAGCCACTCATCCTCTGAGATCCCGCATCTCCTCGGCCTGCTCCAGCCCAGCTCACAGCGCCTGTCGCCTCCTCATCTCCCTTTGCTCACAGCCTTCTGCGAAGCCCGTATCTTTGCTTTCATACCAACATCATAGCTTTTTGTTCTATACTTTTGAGATCTGAACTCTGACAGCTTCATAGAAATGACTCCCACTGTGCTCAGCAGCCACTTGACTGCTAACCCCATTTCTCTGCTCGGTGTTCCACATCTGTCTGCACCAGCTGACATCTGTTGGCTGCCTGTCCTTGTATTGAGACCTCTTCTGTCAGTGTGCAAAATGTTTTTATCTTGTCACTGCCTCCCCACGTCTCTAGTTACTGCTCTTCTTTTTTCTCTACCTCTTCTTGTTTTTTCTCCGTTCTTCTGACTTTTTCCCGTCTCTTTCTCTTTCTTCCTCTAACATTTTATGAGTACTTGCACAGGTACAGAACAGTTGAATCCCGCAGCAAATGCCACCCCCCCCCATCTAGACTCTACAGTGACATTCTGTTCTATCTGCCTGGCACACGTACTGCCACTTTCACCTGCCAGTCCTCTTACTTTGGGCACATGTGGTTCCAGTAAGCGGCACCTTTTCTTTTTAAATCATCATCATTCCTCCACCTCCTCCCTGGAAACCAGCAGCCTGCCCCAGCGCTCTGCCCGGGTCACCCCACCCTGGTGTGCACACCCTGTGCCTGCGCTGCCCCAGCACATGCCCTGCCCTCTGGCTGGCAGGTTGCCTCACAGCGCCCTGCTGTTCACGCCAGGGGTGAGCACCCCGTTCTCCCACCTTCTCCTGCGTTTCCCTGTTTGCTAATCTGTGGTGGCTCACCTGTGCGGGCTGCTTAGAACTCAGTCTCCAAGACCCAGGGTTTTACCATGAAAATAGCTTGGGAATTCACTGATACATTTCCATTTCTGCTGCACCTTTCCAAGCTCTGGCTCTCATTCGGCCCAAAGGTCCCGAAAGCCCCTTCCGGTGTCAGCCCTGGCCCCCCAGTCCTGCCATGCTGTATCATCACAGGAGCCTGTCCACGCTGTGGACAGCGCCCCGCTCTGGTGTCTGTGTGTGGGCACAGGCTCTGTGTTGGGTGGCCAATGCCTTTGATTGGGTGAGATCAGGAGTGAGACCCAAGCTTGACAAAGCTCTCCACAGACTAAGAGTTAGACAGAGGCTGGCTGCGTGGCAGTGTCCTGAGAGTCATTTTCTGGCTGACACCGTGAGCCTGTAGTGTGGCCTCCTGAGCAGGAGCCGAAATCTGAGGAAGGGGGACAGGGCTGTCCCTCATGAGTCCCACGCCCGGCCAGCAGGGCTGAGAGCTGTGGGCCCTCCCCTCCCCATACTACCGTGGCTGACCTGTGGGACACTTCCCGTGCCTACAAGAAAGTGAAGGCGTCTTTCATATCCCCCCGGGGATTTGCAGGTGCTTTCACATCTGTGACCATGTCCTGTGTGGTAAACGCCTCGCTATTTGTTCTCCTTGCAGCCCGGGAGCACCAAGTGCAGCAGTGTGTATGAGAACTGTCTGGAGCAGAGCGGGGCAACAGGTAGGTGCAGCGGCACCGTGTGTCCCCCTCCTGGCGCCTTTTAGGTGTTGTAAATGTGTGTGGCCCTGGCTCTCAGACACCTGGGAAAGCCAGGTGCACACGGGATGAAACCTGGAATTCTTCAGCTGTGGGATTCCCAGGGGGCTTAGGTCACAAGCGTGTCACCTGAGAGGGCACTGCACAGGCTCACAGCTCTTCACCATGCTGGTGTCACCTGCCTTGCTGTCTGAGGTCGCTGTGGTGGCAGCATGGAAATGCCATCCTGAGCAGGGCGCTGTGTCGGCTCGGAAGCCAGGGGAGCGTGCCTCGCAGGAAGACGAAGCAATAAACAAACATGAAGCAGATCCTGCCCTATCTGGTCCAATCGGCGCGAAGATAAATCCTCATTCCACATCAGCAAGAGCGAGGAAAAGACACCTTCCATGCTCCTGCCCTTCTCACCCTGGAAACTCCGACCCAGGGTTTTGACAGTCAGGAGCCAGGCTGAAGCTTA